CCTGACTCCTCAGTCCTATGGCTGGGAGACTCTTAACAATTGGAGGACAGAATCCTTGAAGCAAAGGCTTTCATTACTTGGGGGAGGGGTGTATGGAAGGGGAGGAAGTGGTACAAGTTTCCTCTAGAAGCAGTTATATGCAAAACACATAAAGATAAGAGGAAGCTAAGTGGCCCAGTGGATAGAGTGCAGAGCCTGGCACCTGGAAGACCTGAGTTCAAATCCAGCCTTAGACACTTTTAAACTACCTGTATGATCCTGGGCAAGTCTTTAACTTCTGCCTGCCTCAGTTTCCTTGACTTTAAAATAGGGATAACAATAGCACCTGCTCCCCAAGGTTTTTGTGAGGATCACACAAGATAAAGTGTGTAAAGTGCTTAGCACATTGCCTGGCAGAGAGTGGTTGTGGTTGTTCTGCTCAAGGGTGGCGAATTGGATTAAAGTGAGGCAGAGCTGTGCAAAGGCCTCAGCCTCACTGTCTCCTCCAGAGTCATCAGAGTCCAGTGGCAGGACTAAGTCAGGGTGACTGGGGAAGGCCTTGGCCTTTCTAAATTTAAGTCTTTCCCAGGCCTCAGTTTACCTTTCAATGACTAAGGGCTAGATAAGAATCGAGATAAAAGATGACCTAATTTACCATCAAGGTCCTCCTCACGGTATGTGGAAGCAAGAGTAGGTGCAGCCAGGGGAGCTTGGGAACCAAGTCAGGAGACAGAATATGACAGTTTGAGGAAAGCCTCGGGCTGCTTGGCCAGGGCTGGGAGATGGCAATGTGAGGAGAGCCCCAAGATGCCTGGTCAAGGCAAGGAGGTGTCAGTGTGAGGAGAGCACAGGCTTCCTGGCCAGGGCTGGGAGGTAGCAGTGTGAGGAGAGCCCCAGGATGCCTGGCCAAGGCTAGGAGGTGGCAGTGTGAGGAGAGCACAGGCTTCCTGGCCAGGGCTGGGAGGTAGCAGTGTGAGGAGAGCCCCAGGATGCCTGGCCAAGGCTAGGAGGTGGCAGTATGAGGACAGCCCCAAGATGCCTGGTCAAGGCTAGGAGGTGGCAGTGTGAGGAGAGCACAGGCTTCCTGGCCAGGGCTGGGAGGTAGCAGTGTGAGGAGAGCCCCAGGATGCCTGGCCAAGGCTAGGAGGTGGCAGTATGAGGACAGCCCCAAGATGCCTGGCCAGGGCTGGGAGGTGGCAGTGTGGGAAGTGCCCTGAAGTATTGTGGTCAGAGTTGGGAGGTGCAATTTTGAGGAGAGCTCTGAGCTGTGCTGACTAGCATTGGGACGTGGCAATTCCCAGGACCACCCAGTTGCAGGTGGGAGGAAGGCTTAGTGCTGGAGTAGCCTGAAATGGGGAAGTAACTTGAAGACCCCCCCCCCAGTAAGGGAGAATTCACTGGCACTCAAGATGGCCCGTTCCACTTTGGAATTACAGGACCCTATATAGAGAGAGTTAGAAAGGACCTCTGAGCCCATCCAGTTTAATTCCCTTATTTTATAGATAATAAAGTGGGGCTCAGAAAAATCCAGTGACTTGCCCAAGGTCACACAGCTTGATAGTTCTAAATATAATACATTTAGGGGTGGTCTGAAGTCAAAGGCTGCCAAATTGGATATGTGGGAGCTTTGTATTTCTCCTAATTGTAAGGCATTTTCTGAAAATCAGCATGAAGGATTGCCTTTACTAGTCCCCAATTTCTCTTACTCTTAAGACTAAGGTAGTTTATCTATAGTTCATTCATTCAACACTGATTAAGCACCTACTTTATGCCAGACTCTGTGCTAGGTGTTAAGGATACAAAGAAAAATAAAACAATCCCTGCCCTCAAGAAGCTTACATTCCATTGAAGGGGAAAAGAAAATTTTAAACAGAATTAAACAAAAAATTATTTTCAACATATACATAAACTTGGTGATGGAGTCCAAGAAGTCTGTCCACAAATTCTCCACCTCCGAATCCTCAGGGGTTTCACTCATGGGTCAAGGACAGTTCAAGGTCAATGTTGCTTTGGCTGATAATGAATCTGGTCTGTCCTTGGCAGGGAGGCTCCATTGGGAAAGGGACAACCCTAAACCATGGCTCTGATGTGGACCTGGTCATCTTCCTGAGCTGTTTCTCCAGCTTCCAAGAGCAAATCAAGCTCCGAGGTCACATCATCACACATGTGGTGGAGAGGCTTACCAGGTATCGTGAGAGCCTGGCCTTTGACATTCAGAGCATTAATGTGAGACAGTCATGGCGTCGGGGTTCAGCGCCTCGATCCCTGTCCTTCTACATCCAGGCAAGGAGGAGGAGTGAGCCTATTAAAGTGAATGTGCTGCCAGCCTTCGATGCCTTGGGTAAGGAAAAAGCAATGCTTCTTGAGGGGCACAAAGCAACCATGCCAAGCTGGAGATAAGAGGTCTGGAGGGCAGTGCTCAAAAGCCTCTTAAGCAAAGTCAAATTCAGCCCCTTATTAACCACGCAGTGGGCTAAATGTTGGAGACACAAAGAAAGTGCCTGCCCTCAAGGAACTCACAGTCTAATGGGGGAGACAACATAGTAAGTCACCGGGGATCAAATCCAGCCTTGGACATTTACTAGTTATGTGACCCTGGGCAAGTCACTTAACCCTGTTTGCCTCAGTGTCCTCATCAGTAAAATGAGCTGAAGAAGGTAATGGCAAACCACTCCAGTATCTTTGCCAAGAAAACTCCAAATGGGGTCACAAAGAGTTAGACACAACTGAAAAAAATGACTGGGAAAATGGTAGTGTCTTGGATGAAATAATAATAATAATAATATAATAACAATAGATAGCTTTTAATATGTACGTACACACACACACACACACACATATATATATCACTTCAAGGTTTACATATGTTATTTCATTTGGACAAATATACATCGTTTAGGAAGACAGATAAATTTGGAGAATGGAAGAGTAGATGATGAGTTTCATTTTACAAAAGTTGAATGACCACCTGTTGGGTGGGCATCTTGTAGGAAGACATCTTGGTCAGGTCTGGGTGGAACTTAGGGGTGGACTAGAGCCAGCTAGAACCCACTCCAGAGAGCTGATTGTTAAATTTTCAGGGTGAGCCTTTATGCCTTGGAAATCTCAAGCTACAAATCAAGGTTTAATTTAATGTTTTGTAGCTTGTCTAGACTTAAGAAAGAGATGGAGGAAATGTTAATGATAATATTTTCATGTTACTAACATGAAATTATTAACATGGACTAGCATGATAATGTCATTCTAATAATAAGTTATAGAGGAAATGTTGAAAACATGTCAGGCGTCATTTTTTTTTTCAGAGAACCAGTTGTTAAACATTTACTAGCTCACTCCTTGTGGGAATAGATGGCATTTGAGGTCTCTTCCACTTCTGAGATTGTAATTCTGAGCATCTGGGGGATTGGGCTTTGGGGAGTCCAAACCCCCCAGGTAATGTCAGCCCCACTTCCCAAGAGAAGAAATCCTCTCACCTTTCTCCAGAGAGATCTTCCTGTTCCTGAATCCGGGATTTGCTCTGTGTCCCCTCCCTACAGGAAATCTTGCCCCAGGCGAGAAGCCACCTTCAGAGGTCTATGAAAATCTAATAAAGAGCCAAAGCAAGGATGGAGAGTTCTCTTCATCCTTCACCGAATTGCAGAGGAGTTTTTTTAAGTACAGGCCAGCCAAACTGAAGAGCCTCCTTCGGCTGGTGAAGCACTGGTACCTGAAGGTGAGCACCACGGTGAAAGAAGGGAGGGCAAGAGGGTCCTCATTAGCATGGGTCAGGGAGGTCAGATGGGCAAGGGACAGTCAAAAAAAGGACACACCCACAGTATTCCTTTGGAAAGATTGGAGTCAGAGGATCTGGGTTCTAATCCTGCCAAACTAGTAACTGCTGACCTCGGACAAGTTCTTCTCTGGACTTCAGTCTCCTTCCCTACAAAATATAAGGGTCAAACTAAATGGCCTCTAAGGTCCCTTCAAGTTCCAAATCTAAGTGTCTATGAAATGTACATGCAGAGAAGCAGAATTCTGAGTGGGGTTGTTACATTACCATTGCTTGTAAGAGGTTTCCCTGGCTGCAGCCCCTATCTCTCAGAAGAGGTCTGGATAACTGCTCTTGAGCTGTATCTACAGGACCCTCTATGGTCTCAGCAGAAGCCTCTGCTTGCCCACTCTGATGACCCATCAGACAACTCTAAGCTCTTAGAGAAGAACTCTCCCAGTGAGGAGGCCTCTATCAACCTCCACCAATGAAGAGCAGGACCTATTCCATGATATCCCATGACTTAGTCTTAGAATTACCAAGGGCCCCCAGACGGGAAATGAAGAAGATGAACTTTAACCAGTCTTCCTTACTCAGAGGCCCAGGCTCCACTAGGCTATGCTAACTTTCTGACTCGATTCTCTATGCCTAAGAAAAATGCAACATAAATATGTGACAGGTCACCATTTCTCAAGGCCATGTTGTTGGAGAGTCATCAAGGAAACTATTGCATGCTGTCCTTAGCTTGAGGAAGATCCAAGTTCAAAGCTCTAACCCTCACAGCCATAGCTTATGAGCTGTGTGACCCTGGTCAAGTCATCTAACTTCTCCAGTCTTCAGCTTCATCTCTAAAATAGGACTAGGAAAAGAATCTAACTCACAAAGCTTTTGTGAGGCTCAAAGAAGACCGTGTTTGTTAAGAGTTTTGTAAACTTCCAAAAGATAAATGAACATCAGTTGTTTGTTTTATTAGAGAGATAAGGGACCTTAGAGATCATTTAGTCCAGGACCACCACCCTCATTTTAGAGATGAGGAAAAAATCCACAGAGGAAAGGACTAGCCCAGAGGGGCCTCGATTAAATAAGCACCAGAATAGCAGAGAGTCCTAAACAGAGGTGTGAATACAGACAGATACACAGACAGACAGACAGACAGGTAGATAAATAGATAGATAGATAGATAGATAGATATAGATAGATAGATAGATAGATAGATAGATAGATAGATAGATAGACAGACAGACAGACAGACAGACAGACAGGTAGATAGATAGATAGATAGATAGATAGATAGATAGATAGATAGATAGATAGATAGATAGATAGATGGATGGATGGATGGATGGATGGATGGATGGATGGATGGATGGATGGATGGATGGATGGATGGATAGATGGATAGATAGATGGATGGATGGATGGATGGATGGATGGATGGATGGATGGATGGATGGATGAGTGCATAGATAGATAAATTGATAGATAGACAAAAAGATGTTGGACAAATATAGATATATGTATATTACATATATTTGTATATATGTATTTCACATACATACACATTTTAGTAGGTAGGTGGTGCATGGGATAGAGCACAGGGCCTGGAGTCAGGAAGACCTGAGTTCAAATCCAGTCTCAGACACTTACCAGCTATGTGACATTAGGAAAGTTGCTTTACCTCTCTCAGCTTCAGTTTCCTCATCTGTAAAATGGGAATAATAATAGCAACTACCTCCCAGAGTTGTTGTTCGAATCAAATGAGATGACATTGGCAAAGTGCCTGGTACCTTAATTAATGCCTCTTCCCCTCTCTACTCTTCTACTCTCTATGTAGAGAAAGAGATAGATAAAGTTAAATGCTTATAATATGCTGGATACTATAATAAGCCGAATGGGGCTAATATTGGCCTAATTCCCAGTGGGTCTCTGTCTCTGTCTCTGTCCACTTCTGCTTGGACTTGAAGTCAACAGGGTGACTCATGAAAATGATGTACTAAGGTCATGAGATCCTATCTTGATACAAAAGTCCACAAGAGGAGCCCTTAATCCCTCCATCCAAGAGTGGTATGTAGGCCCTTAGAAGGGTTAACAGGGATCACAAAAGAACCAACCAGATTTAATCAGGACCAGGTCATTCTAGGCTCATCCCACTTCCTTTTTTTTTTTACAGAGTTATCATACTGGTAAATCAAAGGAATAATAATAACTAGCTAGCATTTTTCAAAAATTATGAGATATGGTCCTCACAACAAGCCTGGGAGATAGGTGTTATAATTATTCCCACTTTACAGTTGTGAAAACTAAGGCAAACAGAGGCTACCTTAATACTTAAACTAAATCAGATAGCAATCAGTCAGTCATTCAATAAACCTTTGTTAAGCACCTTCTATGTGCCAGGTACTATATTAAGCTCTGTACATACAAAGAAAGTCTAGACAATCCCTGCTCCCAAGAAGCCTGTGGAGGACACAATATGCAAGCAACTATGTACAACAAGCTATGTATAGAATAAATTGGAAACAGTCAAAAGAGAGAAGGCACTAAAATCAAAGGGGACCAGGGAAAGGTTTCCTGTAGAAGGCAGGATTTTAGCTGGGGCTTGAAGGAAGGCAGGAGACAGAGATGAGGAAGGAGGGCATTCTGAGCATGGGGGCTAACCAGAGAAAATGCCCAAAATCAAGAGATGGAGTGTCTTGCTTGAGGAGCAGCCGGGAGACCAGTGTCACCCAGTCTTGGAGACTCCTGGGGATAGGAGTGGGGACAGGGGAAAGAAGAAAATGAGAAAGGGAAGAGAGGAAGTGTGAAGCAAAGTGGAAGGAGATTGGAAAGGTAGGAGGGGGCAGGTTATGAAGGATTTTGAATGACAGAGGACTTTGTATTTGCTCCAGACTAAAGTTTATTGAGTTGGGGGGGGACAAAGAGGGGAGGGTGACAGGATCAGATCTGTACTTTTTAGTGGTTGAATGGAGAATGGATTGAAGTGAGGAGGGACTTGAGGCAGGCAGATTCCCCCCCCCCCAGAAGCTATTGCAATAATCCAGGTATGAGGTGATGAAGGCCTACACCAGGGTGGGGTCAGTGTCAGAGGAGAGAAGGTGACATATTTGAGAGATGCTGCACAGGTGAAATCAACCAGAGATGCTGCAGAGGTAAAATTGATGAGAGATGCTATAGAGGTGAAATTGACAGGCTTTCCCACCATATTGGATCTGGGGGTTGAGAGAGTAAGGCATACAGGATGACTTCGAGGTTGTAGCCTGAGGGACAGGGAGGATGGTGGTGCCCTGGACAGCAATAGCGAAGGTAGGAGGGGGGGAAAGGTTTAGGGGGAAAGATAATGAGTTCCATTTTGGACATAGAGATGGTAATTAATTCCATGGGAGCTGATGAGATTACCAAGTGATGCAGTATAGAAGAGAAGAAGGTCCAAGCACTGAAGGACACATACAAAGCTTTGATCTGCAGGAATATCTAGGAAAGGAGACAGAAAAAGTGGTCAGACAGGTAGGAGAAACTAAAGAAATGGGTGTCCTGAGAAACCTAAAAAGAAGAGAGTATTGAGAAGGAAAGCGTGATCAACAGTATCAAAGGCTGTAAAGAGGTCAAGGAGAATGAGGATTAAGACAAAGGCTGCTGGGGGCAGCTAGGTGGCACAGTGGATAGAGCTCTGCCTGTAGAGTCAGGAGGACCTGAGTTCAAATCCGGGCTCAGACACTTGACACTCACCAGCTGTGTGACTCTGAACAACTCATTTAACTTCAATTGCCTCAAAAAAAAAAAGGCTACTGGATTTGGCAACTAAGAGATCATTAGTAACTTTGGAGAGAGCATTTTCAGTGGAAATATGAGGTCAGAAACCAGATTTCAGAGAGTTATGAAGAGAACGGGAGGAGAGGACTTGGCCAGGGTCTCACAGTAAATATCTAAGGATGAATTTGAATTCACCTCTTACTGCATTTGTGACCTTAAATAAGCCATTTTGGGTTCCCTGGGCCTGTTTCCTCATCTATAAAATGAGGAGATTGAACTAGATGGTCTCTGAGGTCCTTTCCAGCCTTAGACCTAGGATTCTAGGATCCATGGTCCTATCCTGCAAGTTAAGAGTGTCAGTGGTATGACATGGCATCCCCCAAAATCTAAACCCATCCTAGGCTGCATTGAGACACAATACCTAGAACAAGGGAGGAGGCTTCTGCAGCAGGCTTCCCAGGTCCAGTCACATCTGGAGCACAGTTCCAAACATGACATTGTAGGAAAGTCAAGTTGCAGCTTGCCCGAAAGAAGTTTACCAAGATTGTGAGGAGACCAGAGACCATGCCATGTGGGCACTGGTTGAAAAAATGAAAAATAGTCTGAAGAAGGAAGAAAACTCAGGAAACACCAGAGCTATCCTCAAGTATTTGAAAGGCTACCCTGGAGAAGAGCCTTATTTAGAACCAAGAGCAATGAGGAGAAAAGGTATAGAGACACCATCTTGAAATCAGGGGAAACTTCCTACCAATGTGAGCTGTACCAAAGTGGAACAGACTCAAGGGAGATCTTTAAACAGAGGCGGGATGACCTTTCGTCAGGGATACCAGGGAAGACAACCTTAGCAAGCTATGGATTGAATTCACTCAGTGGCTCCCTGGATCCCTCCCAACTCTTAGTTCTTGAGATACTGGCTCCATAGAACAGTCCACATCAGTAGTAGAACACCTCACCCAATCAAGAGTGCCCAGCTGGACCCTAGATTTCTTTTTTCAATTGAAATTTTTCCTTTCCCCAGAACAGAGGCAGCTGTCCCTAAACCCAGTCTCACTTCCTGTTGGCCAAATCTTTTGGCCTGTGCCAGACAATTTAGCTCATTGTCAGTTAGGGGGTACAGAGGTTAGAGTGCTGGACCTGGAATTAGGAAGACTTGAGTTCAAATGCTGCTTCAAACACACCTTAGCTGTGTCAGCCTGGACAAATCAATTTAACTTTTATCAGCCTCAGTTTTCTCAGCAGGTTAATGGAGGTGATAATATTTATTTCACAAGATTGACCCTTTGTCAGGAATACCAGAGAATCTCAAAAGACATAATATTTGTCAGGTGCCTTATAAACCATAAAACTACTCACATTCTGGCCAATGCATGAAATCCAAAAATAAATAAATGAACAAGAGCATTAAAGGTGACCTTGTAAAGTAGAAACTGAGCAGCATTGAAAGCCTTGGTGCTAGGAGTCCTTCCTGGGTTTTTGTCAAGAGCATCATTTGTGTCTATTGGCCTAGGTTCACTAGCTCAGCATCACCTTCAATTCCTCACTTTCTCTCGCCCTACACATCCAATCTTGCTTCTATCGCTACAATGTCTCTTATCATTTTACTCTTCTCTCTACTCACATAGGCACCCCACTAATTCAGGCCTTTATTACCTCTCACCTCATTCCAGTAGCTCTCCATTGGTCCCCTTATCTGTAGGCTTTCCCCTCCCAGCTCCATCCTTCACACAGCTGGTCAAACCACGACAACCCTGGGCTCAATGCTATCCAGGGGCTAGCCTTTCATAATTCAGCTCCAACCTACCTTTCCAACCATATCATACATTGCTCACTTTCCCATGTTCTACAGTCCAACCATATCGTACACCGCTCACTTTCCCATGTTCTACAATCCAACCATATCGTACACCGCTCACTTTCCCATGTTCTACAGTCCAACCATATCGTACATTGCTCACTTTCCTATATTCTACAGTCCAACCAAATGGGCCTTCTTGCCATTCCACACGTATTTCGCTCCATCTCCAATCTCTATGCCTTTGTACAGGTTATGCCCCATGCCTGGACTACACTCTCTGTTCAGCTCTGCCTGTTGAAATCTCCTTCAAAGGTCAATTCAAGCACCATAGCCCAGGGGCTAGTGCTGTTCTCCTTAAATTAACTTGTATTTACTAGGAATCTAAAATCTATGTAAATGTTGCCTCCTCCACTAGAATGTAATCTCCTCGGGGCAGAATGTTTTCACTTTTGCCTCCTCATCGCTGGGACCTAGCACAGTGTCTGGCATCAAGAAAGTGTTAGTTCTTAATCTTTTTTCATTCGTTAATAAAGGTGTGTTGACAGAATGATTGGTTGACTGTACCTCATGAAGGATGGTCTTACTTCTTTTGTAGAAAGTGAAAGCAAAATGCCCGCGAACCCTTCTGCCCCCCAAATATGCCCTGGAACTGCTGACCATCTATGCTTGGGAGAGTGGGACTCAGAAAGCTGAGAACTTCAACACCGATGAAGGCTTCGTGACTGTGATGGAGCTGCTCCGGGATTATGAAAACATATGCATCTATTGGACCACAAATTACAATTTTGAAAGTGCCGTCATTCGAGACTTTGTGAAATGGAAACTAAAGAAAAATAGGTGCCCAATTCCCTTCTCCCTAACTCTGCTCTCTTGGGGGAGGGGACAGGAGACGAAGGGGAGGGGTTATGTCTTTTCTCATGGGGAAGGAGTGAGATTGGGGAACCATGTAGGAGATAAGTATATGAAGGCTTTTGGAACGTGAAAGGGGGAAATGGGGCTGACATGGGGAGGACTGAATTACTTTAATAAGTACTTCACCCCTGTTCTCCAGCAAATCTGGCTGCCTCTGGGCCCCGGGGACATGGGGTTTGGAGAAGATCTCTTTAGTTTTCTACAAGATGGGTACCTCTTCCCATAATAGTAATAATGGTGGTGGGGATCAAACGACATAATATTGATAAAGTACTCAGCACATAGTAGGCACTTAAATGCTTATTCCTTTCCCCTTCTCCTACTTACTGATTCTCCTCTTGCCCCATGGGGAAGCATTGAATGCCCACAGTTCAGGGAGTTTGTGGGGTGAATGCAGGTTTCTGGAAAGGGCTGAGGTTAGATGAACTCTGAAGTGCCAAAGACTCTACATGGTATGAGATGTAGGGAGAGCCCAACTGGCAAGCATCAATCAGTGCAGTCCTGGAAAGGATGCTTGCATCTCCTTCAAAAAGAAGTAAAGAGAGCTCAGCTTGGAAGGGACCTCAGCAGCCATCTAAGGTGATCCTTGCCCCCAAAATAATCCCCTCTCTGACATTCCTAACAACAGGTCATCCAGCTTTGACTTAAAGAATTACATAAAGGGGAAATGCAACACTCTTCATTCAGAGAACCCCCTCCATTTTGGAAAAGCCCAAATCTCTCTCCTTTCTCTCTCTCTCTCTCTCTCTTCTCTCTCTCTCTCTCTCTCTCTTTCTCTCCCCCATCTGTCTCTTCCTCCCTCCCTCCCTCCCTCCCTCCCTCCCCTTCTTCTGGCATCTAGGGGCCGAGTGGAATATGTTAAATTGTTTTCCACATGACAGAGTTAACATCCTCAGTTCCTTCAAACAATGCTCATAACGTAGGCTGCAGTCTCTCCTCTCTTCAGGCCATTCTCCAAATAAAGCCAACAAAATGAGTAACTGTCTGAGGCTGGATTTGAACTCGAGTCTTCTTGACTCCAAGCACAACACTTTTTCCAGTGCACCATTTCACCGTCTATAGAACATGGATCTTACCGGTTCTGCTTGGCCCCACAGGACAGAACTGGAAGCAGTGGGGTGAACTTGCAAAGCAACAGGTTTAAGCTCAATGCAGAAGAAGGAGAGGGCTAGGTGATGGGGCAGAGAACCATCCTGAACCTACCTCTCTCTTCCAGACCCATTATCTTGGACCCAGCCGACCCTACCAACAATGTGGGAGAGGGAAAGAGATGGGATGTGGTGGCCCAGGAGGCTGCCCACTGCCTGAAACAGAACTGCTGCTATGATAAAAATGATGAAGAAATCCAAAGCTGGGATGTCCAGGTACCAAGCTCACTGCCCATGACTAGACCTTCTTACCCCCTTTGCCTGCAGCCTGTGCCCCATCCCCTCCAACATCCCCAGGGTCCCTCCTAAGCAAGAATCTGAACAGGATAAACTATTTGATCACCTGCATGCCCCAAATGGACAGCCTGGAGTGGGCTCAGTAGGACAAAGAATCCAGCAGAGAGACCAGGATCAGAATTGGAATTTGGGTCCTCTAAATCCAGAGCCAGAGTTCTTTCTGCTGCATTGTGCTGACTCTCCAATAACAGCCCCTGGCCTGCCTGCCCCTCAGGATGGAGAGTCAGCTAGGATGCTAGAATTACTGGGTGTTAGGAATGGAGGGAAATCATCTGGGGCAAATCCAGTGGAGGACACTGGGTCAATTTTGTTGCTAATCTTCAGCTTCCAATTGGGTTGATAGAGGTGACCAGGCCCAGAGGTGGGAATAGGCCAGCTACCCTCTTTGGGAAGAGTCACTCCTGGGTGGCTATGTGAAAAGGCCAAGGAGACACCAGTGATAGCATCAGGACCTTGGGATGGGTCTGGGGAGGAGGTGTGTATAGTGATAGCCTAGGCCTGGGGGAAGGACAGAAGGAAGGGAAGGGATTATACCAAGACATGCACAAGCCCCTGAAAATGTCAACACTCTAGGCAAATGCCCTGGTGGCCCCGTCCTTGTGATGGCTAATGATTACCTAAGAAGTTTTTGAGATGCAATATGGGGGAATACAGTCAAAAGGAACAGGGTTCAACTCCTGTCCCTACCATGTGCTAGCTATTCAACAGTCCCTCATCTTCTCTGAACCTTAGTTTCTCTATCTGTGGAATGTCACTGATAATAATAACGCCTACAGCACTTGCCTCCTGGATCTGTGAGACTGGGTGCATAGAGTACATTGTAAATGTGCTTTACTTTGACTTTTACATTACTGATACAGGTATCTGTATCTCCTAGCCTGAAACTGAAGCCTAAAGAGTGGCAAGAGCTTAACCATGGCAGAGACAAGGTTCGAGCTCCACTCCTCTGGATCTTCTAATTCCAGTCCCAGAGAGCTTCCCATCCCCACTGCTGTGGATAGAAACACACTTGTCTAAGTACTAAACATTCTGAAAATAAAAGGAATTGTTAGATGGCAGCTAGGTGACACAGTGGAGGAGGCATTGGATTTAGACTCAAGAAGACCTGAGTTCAAATCCAGCCTCAGACACTTGCTAGCTGTGTGATCCTAGACAAAGTCAATTAATCACTGGCTACCTCAGTTTCCTCAACTGTAAAATGGGTTTAATAATAGCATCTACTTCACAGGGTTGTTGTAAGGATCAAATGAAATATTTATAAAAGGCTTAGCAGAGTGCTTACATATAGTAGGTGCTATATAAATGCTAATTATTGTTGTTGTTGTGAGATCTATAACCAGTTGCTGTTACTATAAGGCTGTAGCTATGAATAGTGTGTCTCTTTTGGTAACCCACCAAATGCCTCTGTTCCCATCCCTAAGAGGAGAGGGTGGTGGCGTTTTCTGGAGCAGAGGACACATCTCCCCACTGAGTAATTGATTGATGTCCTTTTATCTCCCTCTTTTCCAGGGAGCCAGAAACATTCAGGTGATCCTGAGACAGTCTGACTGGGAAGACTGGACATTCTGGGTGAATCCCTATGATCCAAGTTGGAAGATGAAAGAGAAAATCAGACAGGAACGAGAACTCATGGGTCAGCTACGTCTGTCCTTCCAGGATCCAAGTGGTGAAAGGCAGCTCCTCAGAGGGAGCGACACATTAGCCCAACATGGGATCTTCTATCGAATTGCCATCTACCTGCTGGAAACCTTCAGTCCTGAGATCCAGATCTTTGTTAAGGGTCCCGGCAATCACACCAAGGTTTTTGCTATTGACCCTGACAACTGCATCCAGGACTTGAAGGAGAAGATTGAAGAGGCAAGGGGACTTACAGAAGCATCTCAACTCCTAGAGTTCCAAGGTCAAAGACTTCACGATTACAAGAGCCTCAGAGATTATGGGATCCAGGACAGTGACACCATCATTATGAGTAAACGCTGACCTCCAAAACACAGAGAGAAATTATTGTTTCTCTCATATTAATAATCTATTATTGAATCAGGACCAGTATTTTCCTTACCTTCTTATTTCTTCATTTAGAAACCAGAAACCTGTAGGTAGTTCAGTCGCTGAAGGATATTATTGATGGATGAGATTGCCCAAATCCCCATTCCCTGGTTCATGCTTTTGAATCTTGGTTGGGGGACTCCTCCCCACTAAAAAACCTTACAAGGAATTTAATTTAAGGTGAATTTCAGCACATTGTGTTCTAATCAAGCAGGCTCTGGTAGGAGGGTGGGGGTAGGACCTTTGTCTAGATTGCCCAGGCTGGGCATGGTCTGGGAGCAGGAGTGATCAAAGACATGTCCTCCTTCCCCTCGTCAGCGTAGGTACACCTCTTATTAATTGTTAACCAGTCAGAGTTGGTTGTTGTCTATGGGGAACAGCCAATATTCCAAAGGCATATAAGCATTGACAGGCCTGCATGAGAGGTCTTTTGGATTCAAAGGTGCCACTGACCCCTTTCATTAATTATCCACTAGAAATAATTAATAAAATGACTAATTACCCAGAAACTGTGTCTCTCAAACTTTTTATACATCACAGAACACTGGGATATGCTTCAGGACAAGGAGAAGACCTGGGTAACCCCAATGAATCCTAGAGATGGCTGTAGAGGAGAAAGCAAGTCATCTTCTCACCATTATTCTAATAATAACTATTATTCTATTATTAATGATGTAATTGTTATTAATTATTGTAATACTTATTAATAAGTTAATGGTAGCATCATTCTAATAATAGCAAGAGAAAACTTTATTCAATTGTGGAAATTGGGAGAAAATCTTATTGTATTATTTGAACCTAGCCCTGTGTATCTCGGAAGCTGGACCACCTCTACCTGTTGCTCAGAGGCCCTTAACTAGGACCACAGTTGTGCCGATCAAAAGTCCAATCAGATCCAAATATTGATGCAAGGAGTTTTCTCACAATTATGTATCTCAAGCAACCCATATGCCTTATCTGAAAATTAGACCTGTTCTGGTTAATCAGTGATTGTTTCCATGTTCCTTTGATTGAATACAGATATTTGGGGAGTGGGATACTCCCTTTTCTGATTTCAAGGAATTGTACTTGTTCACTCGCCCTCTAGCAATTTAGAAAACCCTTAATCTTTCCACCAACTAAAAATCAAATTAACTAATTTTATATTCGGGTTAATTGTTTTCTTGTAATTAATTGGTCTTCTCTGGTTAATTGTTTTTAATGCATAAAAATCTGTCTCCCCCTGTATTTGGGTTCCAGGGTCAAAGCTGAGGAAGGTTACTGGTCCCAATTTGTTATGCAATTGTCATGCATTGCTTAATAAATCAGTATGCTCAGAAGCTCAAGCCTTTGTTTCCTCAGTCATTTTAACTTGCCACACAACTGGATAGATAGACAGACATAAATACATAGATAACAGATAGAGAGATAGGCAGACAATGTAGAGACAGACAAATGGACAGAAAGGTGGATAGATGGATGATAACCAAACAGGACAGAGACAGACAGACAGACAGAGCATTTATTAAACATTTATTCTATTCCAGGCACTGCTCTAAGCACTGAAAATACAAATACAAGCAAAAAGAAAGACAGTCCCTACCCTCAAAGAGCTTACATTCTAATGGGGGAAGACAACACATAGAAGCAAAAGGAGAAGAGGAAGAAGAATCGGCAAAGCCAGGAGATCAATGAAACAGTGAGCATGGCTGGCCTGGGCACTTCCTCAACATGGAATTCTGAGTGGAATTCACCAAAGAAAGGAGTCACGGGCTGGAGAGATATCCCAAGATGAGAGTCTTAGATTTAAAGATGGAAGGGACCTTAGAGGTCACCAAGGCCAGCCCCTTATTTTACAAATGAGAGAACTGAGGCCCAAAAAAGGGAAGTAATTTGCCTAGGGTCACACAGGTAATAAATGTCTGCTGCAAGTTCTGAACCCATATGTCCTTGACTCCAAGTCAATACCCTATCCAGGAAGAAGTTGGACTAGATGGCAGCTTCCAACTCTCAAAGCATTTTGTGAAGGGAAATTTCCTGGGCAGCCCTAGCTTTGAAGAGTGGTCCCATAAGTAACCTCAGCTTGAGCATTCAAGAGTTTCAAGAAATAAAACATACGGCCTTCCAGAGCCAAAGTTTGTGACCTGGAGCCCATGAACTTATCTTTCAAACATATTGATAGTTGTCTTTTCATCTAAGTGGTTTCTTTTGTAATCCTTTGTATTTTATGTTATATATTGAACAACGCTGTTCTGAGAAGGGCTTCACAGGCTTCACCAGACTGCCAAAGAGCTTCTCAGAACCCCTGTTTAGATCTTTTGATGTGGTGTGTTCCTTGGAGAAAGAAGAGGCATAGTTCACATAAATCCTGCACATGTTCCTATGTGGTGAGCAATACGACACATTTTGGCAACCAGATGACATTAACCACTTGACATTTCTTCGTGTTTATTTCCATGCTTATATAGTGTATCCATTCAAGTGAACTGGGGCTCCTTGAATGCAAGGGCTTCTTTATTTGTTCTGGGTTTTGTTTACTTCCCAGTACCCATCACATAGTAGGCTCTTAAGAAGTGTTTAGGGGCAGCTAGGTGGCACAATGGATAGAGTACCTGGCCTAAAATCAGGAAGACCGAGTTCAAATCCAGCCTCAGACACTTACTATGTGACCTTGAGAAAATCACCTAATCCTGTTTGCCTCAGTTTCCTGATCTGTAAAATGAACTGGAGAAGAAAATGGCAAATCACTCCAATATCTTTGCCAAGAAAAACCCACAAAGAGTCAGATACAACTGAAACAATTGAACAACTGAAGCTTTATTCACTCAGGATGACAGCCAGGTCCTTGGGCCATAGAAGTAATATTGGGAAACTGAACTTGAGTTTCTAAACATTTCTAGAATTAGAAGGGATGTCACAGACCACTACTCCAACCCTCTCATTTTATAGATGAGAAAACAGAGGCCCACAGAGGTGTGGCATCTTGCCTAAGGTCACACAGGTAGTAAGTGGCAGAATTGGGATTGAAACCCAGAGCCTCTGGGGTCATGAAAACAAAATGGAACCTAAGCGAGAAATGAAACTGATCTGCTGCAGAGACCAAATGAGGAAATGTTTTCAGCACTTTCATTACCTTTCAAATGCTACATAAATGGGAGTTGGTTTCATTCTAATTTTTACCATCATGATTCAGTGCCAGGACTCTTGAATCCTCAGGGCCAGAAGTCATGGCCTTCCGTGTGATTTTAGTTTCCAAACATCAGTCAGGTAGCCAGCATTGATTACGAGTTTTCTGCACTGTCCCAAATGCTGAGAAAACAAACTGAGGTTAAAAGTCTCTTCCTCCAACACGGAGACGTCTAAATAATTCAGTTCATATGTAGGGTTGGATTGCAGAATACCATGAGTTAAGCAAGCATGCTTTGTTATTACGTTGCTTTTTGGTCATGGCACCGAGAAGGTGCATGATAAATGTTTGTAGATTGGTTGATTGATTCAATATCAACCCAAAAGTAAGTCTTTAGTGGGGTGTCCCAGGTTACTTGGCTTTGGTATGTTTTGGTAAGCTTTTCTTTGTTTGTTAGTTTTCAATGGTGGATAAAGGTTCACATGACATGCTGATCATATTTGTGCATGATACAAAACTAGGAGAAATAATTGTCTCATCAGATGCCAAAAGCAGGATTTGTTTGACTCCTTGACAAGTTAGAGCATTGATCTGAATCTGAAATGAAACTGAAACAAACAACACAATTCAAAGAAGAACAAATTCAAAGTCTTACATTTGGGTTCCAAATACTTCAAGCTCACAAGCTCAAGATGGGCAAGGCATAGCTAAATGATAGTTTCTCTGAAGAAAAGATCTGGAGGTTTCAGGGAACCCCCAAGGTCAATCTGAGTCACCAGTGTGATGAAGCAGATTGACAGCAAATACAGCTGTGGATGTGACCTTAGGCTGAGTTATAAGAGCGAGCTTGCAGGAATAAGGAAGAAATGTTATTCCTGTTGTGCTCTGCTCTGCCCTGAGCAGACCATCCCTGGAAAGCTGAATTCAGCGCTGAGAGTAACACGGCCTTAGGTGGGTTGTCTGATGATGGACCTTGGATCTCGGACCCACTGGGCACCTAATCCTTCTTCTGAGCTGCCCTTCCAATAGAACTGACTCCAAAGAGACCTCATTACCCTTAGCAATCACAGGAGCATTGATTTAGTCCTGGTCATATAATGCAATTACATTTAATAAATAAGACGGCTGAGAGAAGTGACTCACCCAAGGTCATATAGGTAGGTAGTAAGAGGATGAGACGGCATTCCAACACAGGTCCCCTCACTCAAACCCAAAGTTCTTGCTACAACTGTAATATGTTTTGGGAGAAAATTAACAACTAAGGGTGAAGGGTGTAAGGAATCCCTTCATCAAAAAGGGAGGAATAATTTGGAGGAGAGATGACCCTATTGGTAATGACTGGGCAAGGACAGCCATGAGTGGGGCTGCCCTTCTCTACCTCTCCCCCCTGTCTGAGCCTAGGCCATCAGGGTCCCAAGGGTCTGCTGGCAAAAGGGCCCCTTTCCACAAACCTTCCTGCAAATGTCTCTCCTTCATACCTTATAGATTGACACTAAACATCCCATCCCATCCCCACCCCAAAAGAAGAGAACCCAGAATTCCCACTTCATTGTCATCCTCAGTCCTCCTCCCTGCTTCTACATGGTGGTGGATCAGGCCCAGCAAGGCTTTCTAACCTGAAGAATAGACATGTATACCCCTTCTCTCTGGATGAGCTGGACATCACCAACTCCTTCTGGTAAGTTGGAGGACCATCCACTCTTACCATCCACACTGCCATCTTGTCTTAAGATCCTTACCACCTGCCCTGTCACCCCTGGGCACTATCAGCTGATCTGCCATTGCATCCACTAGACTCATGGGGCTTACTATCCACCCTTTCTCTACACCCTTAGGACCTCTGGGCCCTTCCATTCACCCTGAAGCTAGACTATTACATGCACTCAGGCAGTGTGAGCTATTGGACAACAAGGACTACCCTGATTTTTTTTCTTTTTGTATCCTAAATCATTCTTTGATGTACACAGAAGCACTTAAGTAGTTTTTTTTTCATTCACTTCACTCATTCATTCAAGTGTCAAGAGACATTGCCATGGTCACATCTTAAAGCCATGGTCCCCATCCTTCTGGGTCTGGTTGAGAAGGAGTTAAGTCCTTCCATGCAGACTGTATGCTGGTAAAAATCCTGAGGTTCTGAAACAGCACTCCATTAAGGAAAGCCAGAACAGTTTCAGGTTCCCAGCAGACTGGAAACTGAGAAGGAAACTGAAAGTACTCATTCTAACCAATCATCTGACAGGAAAGAGGAAGGGAAAGGCCAAGCTGCCTGATAAAAGTGAGCTTAGGCAGGGAGAGGTCTGTGTGAGTATTCTGGAGTTTCTCACTCAGCCTGGCAGGGATGGAGACGTTCACAGATCTGTATGACACCCCTGCTGAGAAGCTAGATGCCTTTGTAGCTCATGCACTTCAGCCAGATAAAGAGTGGAAGGACGAGGTCAAAGATGTCTTTGAGAGGATTGCAGGATTCTTTCAAGAGCAATGCTTTCAGGACTACATTATAAGAGACAAACCGGTCAAGGTGATGAAGGTGGTGAAGGTAAGAACCAGTTCCATTCTTCAGAATAGGGAAACCCTAGGAATAAGAGGAAAGGTGATACCATGACAGAAAGAACACTGGCTCTGAGGTCAGAGGTTCTGGGTTCAAATCTCACCTCTGATGCTTACTTACCTGTGTGCTTTTGAACAGGTCAGTTAGTCTCATAGGCCTCTGTTTCTTGCTCTATAAAATTATGGGGTTTGATTAGATGGTCTCTGAGGGCTCTTCCAGTTTCAGATCTATGATTCTAAGTCACTTAGACTTTTCAAAGAGCATGAGAATCAGTGATGGCCGAGTAGTTAAGCAGGAAGAAGAAAAGTGTTTGAGGTTCACCTAAGGTGGGAGGAGAGAGAAAAAGGACATGAGGACTTGGGATCAACATCTCCTTACTTCACAGGTAGATGTTACCCTCAACCCTTAGGCCAGCCATTAATTTCCCCAGTAGGGCATGTCCACTATGACCAACTCTATCCATATTTCCTTTCTCCTCTATTCGCAGTTCCTGGCTCTAGGTGAAAAGGTGAGCTCTCTCCGGGTACTAGCCTGGGTCCACCTTCTGATTCCTCTGAATCAAGTGGCACAGAGATGCTTCATAAATGAAGGCCAGGCCCCTTGATCTAGTCTCTCCCTTGACCCAGCAACCCAGTTTCCTCTGTGGGAAGATATAAACACCCTCTGAAAAG